TCCGTGGTGGGGGCATTGAAGCGGGACAGCATCGCGGCCGGATGGTTGTCCTGCAGGGTTTGGCCTTTGGCGGGGTAAAACGGGTAGTTCGAGGATTTGATTCAAGGTTAGGGAGAAGTGGAGAAGAAGTACCCACCATTGCGCAGCATCTCCGGCTGAATCCGACCATACAGCTCGGTCATGGCATCCAGACCCTGTCGCACACTCTGCTGCAAGGCCACATCCATCAAAGTGGGACGTCGCGAGCGTCCATTCCGCGTGCTCTGGAATGTCGCCTTCGCCTCCAGTTCCGGCTGCAGCTGCTCCTCCCGCTCCTGGTCGTGCAGCGGGATCAGCGGTCGGGGCAGCTCCTTGGTGGGCGGCTTGCCGCTGGCATGCTCCAAGTGCAACAGCAGGAGCAGCAGCGCCACCAGAAGTGATGGCTGCAACATTCCAGCGGCGACTTCTGCAATGGTTTATTCGCTGTCAAGTTCAGTGGGAGAAAAGGCTGCCCAAGGAATCTCCAAGGAGGAGGCACATTAGTCATCGGTTTTCCTGCACTATTTGGTAGGGATCCACGGATCTTAACTAAGCAGTACGAATACAATGTATTTCGAAACTACTGCCTTAAAGAAGCATGCTTCTTGCACAATTTGAAAACACGTAAATCCTAATCGCAGAATAAGTTGATGCCTATAGATAAAGTCAGCAAAACCACAAATCGTATAATCTGCCCCAAGGCCGAAAAGTTGCAACAAAAACTGCCCAAGTTCGATAAGGGGCGAATTAAACATAATTATCAATAAAGTTACGTGGCGTTGGGTCGCCAATATCAATATCAATGTATAATTGCTGCCGTTGCTTCTTTTGCGATTCCAGCGATGCGATTACATCAGCAATGGCAACCACTTATAACGTCGAAAAAGTTGTAAATAATAGCGAAGAGCTGGGTATTATTTAATTTTGACTTTTTAGGCTGCCCACAGCTAATTACAATACTAAAAAATGCACCTCAACTGCAACTTATTATCGCCTAACCAATTATTCTCCTTTCTGCGCTTTTTGTTGCAGTTCACTTTTTCTGCAGTTTCATTTTTTTTATTTATTTCATTTGGTCTTGCACGAGTGATTTTTGAATACGCTCCTCAGTCGACAGTTGATTCGATTTATTGGGTCTTAAAATGATTTCATGTGATGCCCAATTTTAAAACGAAGAGAAGTTATTTTAACAGCTATGCATTAAAAGAAGTGAAGGCCACGAAGGCCTTAAATTCCATGATTATTTTTAAGCTGTCGCATTAAAAGTTAATTACTCTATTTATGATTTCTATGCTATTTCTTTGTCTGCTGGTTATTTGGTGGCTTTTTTCTGGCTTATTTGGACGCAATGCGGAATGCTTTATATGCCTCAATGACCGCATAACAGGCGTCTAGATTGCCAGTGGTCTTTGCAATAAATACTTTATGGCTGGTAACTGCTCACTACCTACAATTTGTACACTAACCCATCATTTTTAAAGTATTGACCAGTGGGATGGTTCCCAATAAACTCTACACTTCTTGGCACCAAAAGTGCATAGATATGGATTAATAGCTTTGAGTAAAGCTATCTAACTATCAACATAAATATGCACTGGGCACCCGAGCACCGCATTTTATTAGGCAAAAATTATGCAATTAGTCTGAAGACTCTGGGCTTGCATAAGGCCGCTTTTCGCTTCCTCGTTCAAGAAATCAAGGGTCCGCACCTCCAAAAGCCGCCTACATATAATATCAAAATATCATATAATAATAGCCGCCAGGAAATCGCGAGCCTAGTGAAATTTTACAGACCACCGGCTTTAGCTGGTTTTCTTTTTTTGTGGCAGTTTTCGCTGCAACTTGGCTGTAACGCTCACTTAGCCAACTGTGGCACTCCGGCCATTAATAATAATCAATTTGTTGGATGATCTTTTGCGCAAAAACGGAAATTGATTTACCCCAAGTGCGGTGCGCAATTTGTAGTTCGTAATTGCCGTGATTAACACCTGCCGCAATTAGCCGGGAACTTTCACTGATGGTTCTACGATTTCGTATTTTGCACTTCCGTTGACGTGTGGCAGCTGGCTTCTATGCTCCTGGAGGCGCCTCCTGGCAACCTGGCACCTGGCACCTGGCAAAGATTTGTTGTACTACCCAAGTCCACCGCACAACACACACCGAAACGAAAACTTTTTCGCGTTTGTATCTGGGATCGTCGTAAACCGAACTAAATCGATTCTCACCTCACGGCTGCCATTAGAAGCCAAAGAAGCAAAGATGCCGAGCCGCAAAGCCCGAGACATGCCACAGCTTCACCAAAATAACAAAAAAAAAAAAACAAACCAAGTAAAAAACCCACTTTGAGATAAAAAAGCACCAACGTCAACTCGAAAAAAGAGTCTTCCAGGCAAACGACCAGTTCTCCGCTGGCTTTCATTCACTGCCCGAGTAGTGGCAGTTTTTTTTCCCATTTTTTCAGCTTTTTTCCAGCAGCAAGACCCAGCTTCTACTCTTAAATATTTATTATTTATTTTCAACTTGCTGGCGCTTATCGCCGTCGCCTCTTTCCGTATTCAAATCGAAGCGAGAGAGATAAAATGCCTTGCGGCTGCATAAAGTTCCCATTAAGGCAGAAATATAAGAAATGTCTCACTGTGCGATCCGATCGCCATTCATCTGGATCCACTGGATCCACTGGTCACCCGGCCATTCAGATCAGCCAGCTCCACATCCACATCCACATCCATCCAATCCATCGCCATCGCAGCCGGTTCATCAAAAGATGCCCAGCTGGATGCTTTGCTTTGGCTTGCTCAGCGGACCGCTGCCCCTTTTTACGTACCGCTCCGCCGGCTTATCGCCCGCCGCCATCGAACTGCTTTCAATTAGAAGAGAAAGTTCTTGCCACAAGCGCATGCAGGAAAAAGTGAAAAAATCAAGCAGAGCGAAAGAGAAGCCAGCCGAAGCACACTCGAGAAGTAAAAATAATCAACAAAGAAATGTTGTTACCGGCGGCGGGCGAGAGACGGCTTTTACTTGTACTCTTGGCCACGTCGGGATCACCTGGGTCAGCCGTAGGAATTGCACCTCGTAAATGGAGATGCTGGGGTCTCACCCCCACCAGGTGACAACCATAACGCTAACGCTAACGCTAACAATCGCCATAGATCCCGGGCCCCGCGATGGAAATCGAGCAATCTATACCTAAACTGGACCGAACGGAACGGAACCCAGCGAAAAGCAGAATATGCATAGAAAACAAATGACATCAGCACTGCAAAATGTCTGAAAATAGAAGTGGTGGGTATGGGATTGGAAATGCCGTTGCCGTTGGCAAAGAGTTTTGACATCGTTAGTCGAGTGTCTTGGGGGATACATACAGTGCACCAGGGAATCTGGCTGATCAATGAACTGGGTATCTATATAATGCCTAGTAAAACCCTTTAGAGCACTGCCTACTTCAGCAACTTATACGAAATATTTCAGTGGATTTCAATTTTTTGGGAGTGTATGCTGGCGCATCTCAAATTAGAAAGAATTTCCCTTTGCGTGGGTGCAGAAATAAACACACAGCCTTAATTGTTATACTTCCCGGAAAGCGGGTCCAAAACAATGAATACCTGCAATAATTTATGACTTCCAAACATTATTAGTACTAGTTATCGTGCACATCACACGAGCAAACGCCAAATTGGTTGGGCTAATGCCATTTGCAGGGACTTAAAGCGCTTACTCACGAGCTTGAAATTCCCCTACCATTTGGACTAATGGCCGTATTCTCGCCGCTTGTAGCTGCACTTACACGTAATGTTATCAGATCGAAATCGGTGATGGAATCGCTTGAGAATCGGGCTAAACCGTAGAGTTGGATCATCAACTGCGCCGCAGCTGCAGAGTCAAAGGTAAAATGTAATGCAGAGGAGAGCGTCCTAAATGGGCTCAATTAGCATTCCCCAATCCGCATTCCCCTTTCCCGATCCCACTGGCTGGCGGAGCGGTGCATTCGTGGGCGTTGCATTACGTATACGCCTCGCAAATTAAGTATACGTAAGCAAATGTATTTGCTTGACAAGAGCCACGCACTTGGTCAATTGGATTCAATTGAACTGTGAGCGCCCTCCAAAATGGGGATAAGAACGAAAACGGCAGATGGAGCACACGGAGTCGAATGATCGATACCTCTTCTTCTAACATTGCAACGAAGGCGAACAGAGCACATTGTCTTGAACATATAATATGGATGTGCCTTGGAGTTTGAACTGGCAGAATTACTATAAAATAATCAAACGTGCCTATTGTGTATCAGAACAGCTCGGAAATATAATCAATATAATAAAGTTTTATAAGGCCGTAAATGCGTATTTGCTGTTAAGATTTGGAACTGTCTAGCACCCTCAGATAGCGTATGCACAAAAAACCCCAAAAGCTCTGACAGTGAGTCCCAAGGGGCGTGGCGAGGGGCGGCGTGGGCGTTAAGTGGAATCGGAATGGAACTGCTGTCCCAGCGGCGATGACGACAGCAGCGGAGCCGCTTTGGGAGCCACAAGCTCGAGACTGGGTCACTGTTACGAGCGTAAGAAGCGGCGAGTGGCAGTGCGAGTGTGAGTGCGAGTGTGAGTGTTGGTGTGTGGTCCGCTCACGCACACAGTGACAGGCGGACCCGGAGTGCTTCGTAATTAGAAGAGAGGGCGATAAAGAGTGCGAGACGGCGGCAGAATACGAAAAGAATCGCTGGAATAATAAAATAATACACGAGGTTGCCTTTGACGCTGCCTTCACTTCGCTTTCGTTTCGCATATTTTACGTTTTACCCCCTCGCCCCATTGTAATTTATAATTTATTTGAATGTTGTGTGTTTTTTCTTACTTTTTCGCGCCACTCATTTCTTACTTTCACATGCAGACGACCGGCGAAAGAAAAGGGTTTGCCCCAAAAGCCGCCCCACTCGACAATCTGCAGTCCATTGTCGGGGTAATTGAAATCGGCAGTCGAAAAGTTTCTTCCATTTTCAGTTTTTATTAAAAGTTCGATTTGAATTCGCCTTTGTTGGGATTAGCTCTATAAATAGATGTACTCGTACAAGTAGACATACAGTTTAATATTATTTCATAGGTATAATAAATATATTGTAGATGCTCCGCTCTCTAAACTAAATTGTCTCTCTTGTCGAAACATTCGCCATTTACAGCACTTTACACTGCGATTAATCGCATTTCGCTGCCATTTTAGTACGAATCACTTGAGCAAACACCATCCACCCATTTGGGGGCACACTTTTGAGTTTCCTCTCCTCGTGCGGCACATACAATATGATTATTAGAGTGGTAACAATAGTAAAGGTATTGGTATTAAGGATTACGCATAGGCATAGTTATGTTTATATGGTTTACATGGTGTGGGGTGTGTGTAGTGTGTGGGCTACGTGCCCTGCGTTTTGAGCTGCACCTGGAGGCCTCTGGAGGCACTTGGAAGCACCTGGAAGTGTCCAGACTACTCACTAGCGGCAGCCCAAAAATCGCGGGGCTCGTGAACAACAAACAAATTTAAACAACATTGTAAGATGAGTGAGTGTATGCGTGTGCACTTACAAAATAAAACAAACTTACAGCTAGGCGTGTGTTTTGTGTTTTCGTGTATAGCTAAAGTATTGCACTATGTTGTGTGTATATGTATATAAATATGTATATGCAATAAACAATTTACATTGATTCAAAGAGTTCTGCTGAAGCTTATAGGAGATGGAGAGAGTTAGAGATAGTGTGGCAGACTAAAAAAATTGTGTGTATAAATATGTGATGTACTCGTTTTTTCTTTTTTGCTTTTTTTGTTGTTTTCTGTTTTTTTCTTTTTTTGGATAGTTATTGTTGAGAAGGAATGTCGTTACACAGATTGTCCTGTCCCCTGCCAACACTTTGAAGCCTCTAACGTGATCCGGGGATCACCCATTCGGGTCAAACGAATCGAACTATTTGGATTACCCAGTGGAATCTTGGGAGTTACGCGAATTCTTGATGATCGCACCGAACGCGAATTCTTTAGATCCTTGAAGTGGCGCGAATTCTTTGTGTCTTATCCAAATCTCCGTGTTATCCTTCCTCCGATCAGCCAGAGATCCCCCGCCGACAACCCACAGCACAGCACTCGACCGCTCCAGCGACCGTTCGTCCCGCCCCGTCCCGCCCAGCCCCCGTCCGCGCGCTCCCTTCAGTTGCGCCGCTCGCCCGCTCGTGCCGCCTGCCGCTGCTGCTGCTGCTGCTGCTCCTTGTCGCGCAGTTCCTTGATGGCGCCCACCGTGCCGAACATCACCTTGGCCGTCAGCTGGGCGCGTGGCGGACCGCCGGACTTGCCGCTGGTGGCCGCCTCGCGGTCCAGAGATGCATTCGCATTGGCGTAGGCGTTCGTGTACGAGACGTAGTTGTTGTTGAGGTCGCGACCGCAGCTGCACTGATGCGACATGTTGCACGTGATGTGGATGTTTTTGTGTTGTTGGTGGCTAGTCCGCTTTTATATGTATATTTATTAGGCGATTTTCGGAGTGGCGTGGCGTGGCGTGTGGAGCAGTTGATCCGCTTGCGGTTGTTTGCCAATTGATCGCGCCTCGCAGTCGCTCACACTTTCACAGACTCACTAGAACTAATTTCGAAAAGCTGTGGTGTTGTTTTTGTGGCCAGGCCTCGCTCGGCAGAGGCAGCGGCAGCGATGCCAGCGTCGACGTCGACTGCGATGAGCAGAGAGAGGGCTGTCAAAACAAGAGAGCACTGCGATCAGCAGCTGTTGAAACAGCGAGAGCTTGCTGCCGACGTCGCTGTTGCAGCGGCTGTGCTGCAGTGAAATGATAAATTTCTCTACACCGAGAAAAAGAGAAGAATTCAAAATATGTTGGTGGGTTACTAAATATTACTAAAAAGTAACAGATTTGGAGATCACAAGAAATATATGTAAAATGTTTAAGCAATTTCGAATTTGTTCGATTTTTAAAGCATACTTTTTGGCGCGCCACAGGGACTTTAGGATTTCTGAGCTAGGGAAATCATGCTTTTCCATAAGAGCTTCCGATAACGACTTCTATATTTACTAACATTAATTGTATAATTCCGGTCTCTCTCTTTCTATATATTTTTCCCAGTGGACCGTCTGCAGCTGATCGATGCTCTCTCTGTGCAGTCGCTGTTTCTGCTTCTGTCGCAGTCGCAGTCGCTGCTCTTGGGAGAGCTTTCTTGATTGCAGCGAAGAGTGTTGTTGTGTTGTTTCTAAGGCCCCTTCACTCTCCCCAACCTCCATCCACCACCCAACACCCCTCACCCGATCCCAAATTGACGACGCTGCGCTTGTGTAATCTTTACGTCGTCTTTGTATGTATTTCTTTATTTTTGTCTTATTTCTCTTTCGGTGGAGCTTTGTTTTTGTTGTAGCTTTACTCATAACAATTTGCGAATTCCACAGGCACGCTCGCAACAACAATAACTACAACAACAAGAACAACAACAAAAGTCAGCAGCAGCAGCAAGTGAAAATCACTAAGCAATGCAGCGACTCACCTGTTTATTGTTGTTGCTGGCATTCATTAAGTTTCATTCACCTTTCGCAGCAGGCTTTATATTGTAGTTTGTTTGTTTGTTTAGCTTTTTTTGGCCATGCTTTTACATAATTGAATCGAGTGACTAATCACTCGACTGAAGCCCAATGAGGAAATGCCTTTCTAACAGCCTGAACCTGACCCCAAAAGAACCGAAAAGAATTTCCAACTGGAGGCGAAAGAGCGAAGAAAACGCGCAAAGGTGAGACGAGCAAAAGCAAACGCATTCGCTTTCGATCGATCGTCACTTTCCTCGGCCAAAAGAAGAAGAAGAACAGCAGAAGAAGAGGCAGCAGACTCGTACTACCAGTTTTCTCCAAGAACCAAAAAGTCACGGTGACCCATATAACATATAGCACCGCAGTCGCAGCTGACGTCAGCAGAGCGACTGAGAGAGAGAGACGGAGAGAGAGAGCTAGAGAGAGAGAGCGAACGAGTAAGAGTACAGAACAAACGGTAGACAGGAGAAAAGAGAAAGAGAGAGGGCACTATCCGATCGAAAAGAAAGCGAAAAAGAAATTTCAATGCAGCGAAGCGTAGAATGGAGAACGTATGTTTGCGCTGGAAGTGCCAGCAAACAAACAAACACTCGCACACACGCACGCACACCAGCGCAGGTGATCGTTTGCTCACCTACTTAAATATGTCGGAAAGTGTGTCACCGCAGCGAGAGCGAAAGAGAGCACAGGAGAGAGTAGAAGCTGCTCCAGAAGAGCGAGCAACATTCTTTGCCGATTTTACGCCTCTTCCCGGCGCACTTGCATATGTATATGTATGATACCATATGCACACACGTATGTTTGTGAAAGGCAAGTGCTAACAGTTGTGGCTAAAATAATAGTGCTAACCAGAAGCATCTAAAAATAACTGACCAAACTCACAAAGACACCTTCGCAATGTTCTTAAGTCAAAATCATAGTTATTATAGTATCTATAAGATATAAACAATACCAGGGGTCTGTGCCAGAAATCTATGTCAATCTAAATTTGTTCATTTAATAAACAAACATTTATATTCCAAAACTGAGATGTCTTAAACATGTTGCCTTCCTATTACTTCCACCCCATTTGCATTTCCTCCAGATGCTATTTTGGCCCAGTGCATGCCACCCACTTACACCTCCCCACACAGATTCGATTCTGGCCAAAAGACAGCCGCTTGTCTTGACCGTAAATCTTCTCAGCTTTCGACTCCGGTCCGCAGAGCAAAATCGCCCTGTGGGCAACTTCTAATTATAAATGCATATTTATGCTGCCAGTTAGTGGCTTCCACATGCCGCTGCCATTGTTGTTGGCCAAGTTGCTGATATCTGACGCCACATAAGTTCATCTGGATCTCAAGTGCACATTGCACTGCGTTTTTCTCATGCGCAGAATCAATTAAAAGAGATGAAAAAACCCCAAACGAAAACTTGTTGGTGGGAAAAATCTCCGAAAACCTGCATAAGAATCGTGATTTTCCATTTTTTATTGTTGTTTTTTGGTTATATGTATATGTTTTTTTGTTTGACTTTTTTTCGTCGCTCTAACAACTACAAAAATGTTTTCGCCTATGCATTTTTTCGGTGGGAAGTTAGTGCCTCAGTGTGAGTGGAGTAGGTGTGGGCTAAACTGGTTGGGTGCCTCGTTTTTATTTATTATTTTTCTTTTGATTTTGGTCCGGCCAACAGCATGTTTAGTTTGGTGTCTTTGGTGTCTTTGTTTTATTTGCTTATTTTGCCTACCGCGATGATGATTTATAGCTGAACTTGTCTTGTGGCACAGCCGACCAAAATTGAATCGAACCGAGTCACATATCCATATCCACATCCATATCCTCCTTGTGGCCATATGTGCAGATTCCAGATGCCAGATGCCAGATGCCGAATACCCAAATGAGCTGCTTGGCCTCTGATTAGACCGCTGGGAAATTTATTAACCTGTTCCGGTGCGTTGACGCGGCGGTGTCAGGCCATCGAGATTGGACTGGCCACGCTTTGGGCATGTTTTGGTGTTACGAGTCATGTCATTAGGACCTCTTATCAGCCTGATTTATGATCGATGGCCTGTGGTGAGTATGAATATAGGCATTTGCCATGACGTCGCCGGCTGCAGCTGCATTCGTTGGCCAAGGTATCGCCTCGATGCCAATGGCTTTCCAGAAACTTAACGCCCCACTAATGACGACTGACGTCATGAGCACAATTAGCCGCCATTTTTCCCAGAAAGCCATAAAAACGTATCAATTTCTAGGACAAATTGTAATTGCGCCACAAATCTCAATGCAATTTCGGTGAGTCCCCTGCTGTGCTCCTAGCATTGCGTATACGACCCGTGCACCCAGGACACTTTAAGCCATATTCGGGAGGCGGATGGGTGGTGCTTATTTACTCAATATTTTCCAATTAGCCAGCGATTTTTGCTTTTATTCGTAATTAAACTATTTACAACTGAGCACCGTCTCAGCGGGAATTCCCTGGGTAATGGTTATTTACCAGCTCCTCTTGCCCCTCCGTCCGGGTAATTGCGCGGAATGCATTGAAAGCAGATTGATTGGAAATATGGTCAAAATAAGCTGAAAAGCAGGGAAAATAGGAACTACAATGTATGGGCGAGTAAAATGCCTAGTCAGTTAATAAAGATACGAACTTAATTTTAAGATTTAAAACAACTCTTGCTACTCACTCTTTTATTCCTGTCATTATGCTAAAGGGACTTGCCATTGAAATCGACAAAGTGCGTCGAATCGGTCCAAGCCAGAATTTTGTGTTATCCGCAAAGAAAGTGGACTCGAGTCTCGAGAGCAGAACAAATGTGGCATCAAGACAGGACAAATGTTAAATGTTATGCCTTCCGGCCGGAAAGCGGCGTTGTAAAAAATATATATGCTAGAATTCCGCATAAAATTCCTCGACTTTTTGCTTTTGAAATGTTACAGCCGCAAAAGCAGGGGGTTTATCGAGTATAAAGCCGGGGTTGCATGTCATTCGAGTTGTCAGTTGGCTCTGAGGATACCCCACAAAGAAGGGCCGAAGGCGAGTGTCCTGCATTTGAGTAATGCGCACCCAGTCAGCTGGCAATTTTCCATTGAAATGAGAAATAGTTGAATGTTATGCCGTGGGTGTCGGTCACAGTGACCTCCTAATGAACCTCAACAGCGCATTCATCATACGCACCGTTGCTTAGCATACATACGACGTGCAGCGTCGCATCCTTTAGCTGCACTTTTCCTCACCTAACCAGAAACTCGGCTTTGGTTTCACCATCTCCTCGAGGAATGTGTCTTCTTGGCTTTTCCGGCCAAGCCGCATGGCGGACACTTGTTACATCCGTGGCGCATAGCAGCCCGCAATACGACCCACCAAACCACACCTCGTGTGTGGTGAAATCGCGCACAGAACCCACCACACATTGTCGTCACCACTGGCGTCTGTCGTGTGGGTGGCTCGTTGATAAGGGCGCGCAGAACGCTCTTATAAGAGGCCGAGCGCCAGCGGATGCGGATTCAAAACTTAACCGACATTTGATCTGTCAACGTGCCACAGGAGCAGCAGCCGAATTAGTCCGCGGAACCCCTGAACACTCGAGTTGCTCCGCGTATCCTGTCCTGGCATCCCAGAGTGCTGAATTCCAAATCGATCCTTTACTAGTTGCTCGCGGTTTCTGTGCGTTTTTCGTTCTGTGAGTTTTCCAGCGGCATTTGGAATTCGCTGTAAGTTTTGACTAAAATGTTATTGTAATTATGGTTTATTCAAGAGAAGGCTTGGGGTCGTAAGTTAGTCGTTTTATCCCTAAAATTTATATCTTACAAAATAAGTGAAGCACATTCGTTAAATTAAAATCTTACAAAAGAAGTGAAGCACATGAGTGGCACATTCGTTAAACTTTGAATTATAAAATTCCCCTTTTTATCCTATTAGAACAGTTGGCAGGTGTTTCGATTTATGTTGTTCAATAAATACACCTTTTTTAAACTCTTTCAAGATTTTTGTAAATAAGTCTTTAAATTAAATTTCAAATAAATGTAGGACATAATTTACATTCTAAAGTGTACCACCTTACACTCAATCAGCACATTTGCCCCAAAAAGTATGCAAAG